CCCCCCCCTTACTATTGGGACCCTTAAGTAAATACCATGTGCCTACTAGTATATGGGGTCTTAAACTTCTATCCCCTATATCAGCTTCCCCTCCCCCCACCTTTCAATTTTATTTGGCATCTGAGGGACTCTGGTAAGCTAAATAGATGTTTCTTTTGTGACTCCAAATGGGGAAAATGTAAATTTATCTATTGCAAGATGCTGACTGAGCAGTAATGGGCAGTACATTGACTCTGCCACTTCTTGAGCTTCTGCTTGGAGCGGTTGGAAGGGAAAGATCCCATGGCAGTTGGAGCCGTTGGACATGTGGAGGGACTATGATGGCTCAGCTGGAGTTTCCTTAGGCCTATCCTGGATAAAGAATATTAATTTATCCAAGATAAAGATGTGCTTAGTTTATTTACTCCAAGTACAGAGCATGGCAAGATCCACCATCTACAGACAAGTTCTGCATTGCAACAGTATTTGCTCCGATCCCACTGACTGGGGTGAACACCTTTTAAGGATCTGGAGCAGGGATTTTTACAATTACAGCCATTTGAATCAATAAAGTCAGACTCAGACCTGCTACAATACCAATCCCAAGACAAGGACAACAGCATTTCTCTGGTCCCTTTGTTTATCATCTAAAGCCCCTGGCTTGAACACCTGAGATTCATCATTAGTGATCTCTCTCTGTTATCCTTTTCCAGGAAGAGTTCGTCTGCAAGCAGTCGTGGAGGACAAACCTGCCCTGGTTTACAGGCAGCCCCCCAACTTCAAACAGCATTTCTGAAGCAATATGTTGCCTAACTCCCAGTTTCACTGAGGCATCAGGCCTTGCAAACAAACCCAGATGTCCTCTGTGCCCCAATATCAATACGGACTACATCATCACTGGACTGAAAAATATTGATTTATAATCTCTGAGGTTCATTCACTTGCAATTCTACCAGTGTCATATGCCATAACACACTTGCAGTGCCCCTGTTGAACAGACAGGATGATCCCTGAACATGAATCTGACGTCAGTTGCAGGAAGACGTGCAGTCCTGGGGGAAAACGCTTTTTAGCTCAGAGGAGTGTCCAGGGAAATTAATGGTGGTTGTTCTCAGGCAGCAAACCTTTAAAAACAGATTTGAATAGGAAATTGTGGAATACGAAATCATCCACAGGCTGCATTGTGTTAAGTATGGTTTTAAAAAGGACTAGGCATTCTTATCCCATTACCTGGATTAGTTTGTGTTTTTGTGACTCCTTTGCTTCTATGGCTTGGTTTACCCCCTCCATTACTGCCCCCTTCTCTCCCTCTCTGCCCCTCCCTTTTGCTTTTGTATTCAAATTTTTCTTTTTGTGAGAGATCCTTTGTGCATATCTTTGCACATCTCATGAAGTGAGCTTCACCTCATGAAAACTTATGTTTTCAAACAACCTACCCCTGTATCTGCCACTGTATTTAGTCTTTCTGAATAAGCATTTTCTTGAGGAACAGTTAACACCTCTGTCTCAGTCCACAGAAATAATATTAAGATAAAAGGCAGCTGCAGTTGCACTTTACTTCAAACTCTTGTTTCAGGCTGTCTGGCAGCTGCATCAGTTTGCCTCTTGGTGTGGGATATGAGCAGTATTCAATTTACCTTGGCTTTTGAGGTTTGTCATGCAATAAGTTCAGCCTCTTTGTACTTTGGTCTTCCAATGATTCTTCAGCTTAGAAGTAATTTTCATGGTACTCTTTTTTGGGGGGGAGGCTTGATGCAACCTAAAAACAAGTTCTCATTTTAGTCTTTGTTCAAGTTCAAGCATTCGCTTGCATATCAGTGTTGTTGTTTTACATAGTTATGTAACTCTGGTGACAGCTATTTCCATAACCTATCTAATAATCAACTTGATCAAACTGACTTATTTATTAAGATATATTCTGATATAGGGTTGTCCAATTCTGGAGTGGCTGGGGCCACACACGCCCCCCCCCTTCACAGCCACATGCTGCAGAGACCCCTATGCCCTGCATGCTGCCCCACACTAGTAGGCAACTGTTAATCCTTTGGATCATGGTGTATGTATAAGAAGTCTAGTTAGGAGCCTGATGAATCTGCTGATATAGAGGCTTGCAGCCATCGCACCAAGACATTCAACGCATATGCCTAGGCAAGAGTATGGAGGAGTAGAGGATGTCTAAGACCTACTTCCCAACTTTAAACCATTAAGACAGTCTGGCCTTTGCATTGAGTCCAGATGTTCAGTTCCTCAATGGTTGTAGCTTCTGCCAAAGAGCTACAAATGAAAACTGCTGCTGACTACCTAATGCCTCAGCAAGGGTATATTTCTGTTGGGGTGACTGATGTCCCTTAGCCTTTCTTCAACCAAGGAGTGGGGGATAGCGCTTTGAGGTGCCCAGACTTGCCTTACTCTGGAGGTTGCAACATTCATATTTTATAATAGCTATTTTGCCGTGAATAGTCCTACCACATTGCCACCAGGCTTTCCAGTTGGATACAGTTTATGGTCGTACCCAGGACTGTTCTGCATACTACCTGCTGCACAACATGTGACTTCACTGTACCCTGTTGGCACCCCCACACTGTGCTGATTGGGATCCCCAGCAACCCATAAGCCATGTGGCTGTGGACTCCCTTGGCCTTGCCCAATCCCTAGGGGCAGGCAGAGAGAGCCAGAGGAGGGATGCGCAGCTGGGAGACACCAGCAGCTTGAGCTGTGGGGTGAGTAGCACCCAGATAGGGAGCCCAGGAGCTTCAGCTCCACATCTTGGAGGTTAGATGTGGCCTTCAGGCTGCCCTGTTCTGACATAGCGCCTTGGCAAAATGGCATATTGACAACCTAGTTCTTGTTTGTTCAAGTCTGAAATTTTAGTTATTAGTAAAATCTCTGGAATTGTTCACAAAACTAGACTAACATTTTGTGTAGAAATGTAAAACAATTTATTTTCCACTAAGCTTAATAATGACAGTGCTGTTCATTTGAAGTGTCTTCCACTTTCTGTAAGTAAACAGATTGAACACATGGGGGAGAAATTGGAACAGTTCTTTTTCTAGAAGAGCAGCGAGATACCTGTCTCTTCAAATGGAAAAATGAGAGAAGCTATTCTCACTGTAAGAATGTAGGAAAGGTGAAACATTTTAACAAGGCAAGTACTCAAAGCTAACAATAACTCCTAAAATTTCACATCCCACTGTATTCCAAGATTTAAAAGTGGCTTTTATCAGCTTGTGAGCAGAAAGTAGGTAAGATTATTTGAGAGGTGAATAGATAATTATTTCCTTTGACAAGGTCAGTAGAAAATGACACGCAGCTTCTGGTTTTTAAACATTCACATTGATACAAACATTTGGAAATAAAATTCTTTTATTTTTAATATAGTTGTCTGTCAACAAGATGCAGAAATAGTCTTCCAATGTAGTAAAGAAAAGGAGACTTGTTTTGTGTGTTCTCTTAACCTTCCAACTTTGACACCTAGCCCTGTAATTTACATTGTGGGGGAGTACAGCAGCATGTACTTACTCAGTCTTGCATGAATATGAACTTGTTTAAGTGTACCACACAACTTAATATTGGTCAATTAACTACATGCAATTTCTGGCAATGTCCACTTATCAGACTTTGACTGCTCTAAGATGGTATTTGAGAACTGTATCTGTAGCATTACAGAGAGTTTTCACAGCCTTGTTTATATGTAACTGTCCCCTTTGCATCTCCATGCACATTTTCCAACTTGAAAAGCAAGCCATCAAAGTAAGCATTTATTCTTAAAATTGCTCCCCCCACAGTTTTGTGTGGGTTTTTTTTGTTTATGTGATCATTTGTGTCATTACTGAGGTGGCTTCTTGGAGAACTCAGGACAGTGATGATAGACTTCTAGTCTATAGCAGACCTGGAACATGTACGTAAATCTACATCCTAACTGCAGAGCTGTGGAAAATCTGTTTAGCTTTCCATGGCTCAAATGTCTACACCAAGTTTCATGTAAAGGAAAACTTCCCTGAGAATTTTCTGAATACAAGCAGAACATCTTCCAGCTCTTCGTTGCTATACTCCAAACCTTTAGGTGTCAGTTCATAGAATCACATATAGCTATGTAGAAGTTTTTGTTTTCTCCCTAATTAAAGACTTTATCTAGTCATCTGTGTATTACAATTGATATCCTTGTCCCCCTGAAATTAATGCAAGGTGGCCTAACTGAAGTCAATAGCAAAGAATTTCATTCTGTCTGTGTGAGAGTTTAAAAAATGAAAATTAAGGTTGCTTTTTTTCCCTTTAAGGAAGAATATTAATAAAAAAGGAGAACAAACCATTTGAGCAAACTGGTGACCTACAAAGACTGTAAATGGAGAAACAGATAGTAGAGGGAGCAGTGAACAGGTTTAACTTTTTTGAATTCATGTTGCAGTGGGATGCTAGGAAAGGGGCTGGAAAGGACTTCAGGAAGTCATTTAGTCCAACAGCTTCTGCCCAAGGCAGAATCATTCCTACCCTAACAGGCAAGCACTTGCATGAGCCAAACATTCCTAAAACTACCCAATCAACCCTGCTGTACAACTAAAAGACACCGAAAGCAGGCTAAACTGCCACAGATAAAGTAGGGGGGTGAGGGATGTTGGTGTCCTGCTAAGGCAAGGGTTCAAAATTCTGGAGTTTTTTTTTAATTTTGTTTTCCAGTCTCACTTATTCATGGCTTCTATGATTTAAGATTACACTTCTCAGCTTGAACGATATTTGACTGGTCTTGCACATCCATGTTGTTGCTAAATGCTGTATCTATGGCCCTAAGAAGGCTGTAGGCCTTAACTGTTTCATTAAAAGATATTTGGGGGGCAGGAGGGGATATAAGATTAAATAGAGTATAATTTCCTTAAAAGAAACTGTTGAACCCAGAATTTGAATTTAAGTTTATAAATTGCACAACTTAAAAGTTAAACTCTAATTGGTTAAGAGGAAGACAAATTTAAGTGTCAGCACTATTTCATTTTATTTTTATTTAGATTAATGAACAGTGCACTGCCTACAGGTACCAAAAGGCAAGCTAAAATAACAATACTTCCTATTCTGAATTTGACTGTTAATATTGGAAATAGTTTGCTTAACCATAGCTAGCCTTCCCACAAGCTTCAAAGTCTCAACTATGTGACCTTTTTGTTTCTCCCACTATGTTCGAAAAATCATAAATTTTGTTTTTGCCTTGCTTCCTTCCTCCAGGTTTAGCCTATAATAAAGACCTTGAAACACATGACTACAGAAACCTACTAAAGATGTCTGTTCCAAACCAGCACCGTTCAACTATTGTTAATCCTCTACCACCAGAATACATAAATCCTAAAAACAATGGTTGTCTAACAAATCAACTTCAATATCTGCAGAAGGTAGTCATGAAAGCTGTGTGGAAGCACAACTTTTCCTGGCCATTTCACCAGCCTGTTGATGCTGTTGCACTAAACCTTCCGGTAAGAACTCAGTCTGGTATTATATGGCAACCTTAATAACCTGTAAAACAGTAAAATAAGTTGGGCCTTAGGAGTAAATTGAAATTTTGGTACTAGAAGATTTAATTTTTGTTTTGTATTTTTTTTAATGCAGAAAGATTCTGCTGCATATTGCAATTTAGGTCCATTAGCCATGTTATTCCAGGATCTTTCCAGCTCTCCGTGAAAGCCAATGCTGGAAGGAGTAAAGGTGGCTTTAAAATGCCACATGCAGTTTCCTCTGGACTGAGTTTTAATTTATGCCTCTCAGAAGTATGAAACAATCTTGGAAAAGGCCTTTACATATGAATTGCAATATTATGATATGATGGGAAGTATCAGGCAACTAATCTGACTTGTCAACTTTACTGTCCCCAAAAAGTAGCCATCAAATCTATCTAAAATCTTTCTACTACTTTCATCAAAATTAAAGACAATTTCCATATCTTAAAATATTAGAAACTAACTGTGTAATATACCAAAAGGAAACTGATTTTATCCTCTATTCTTTTTTTATATAATATAGCAGAATTCCAATGCACAGTACATTAGGTAATGCATTTTAAAGCTTCATGGGTACTGAAGATTATTCTTTCTAAGTTCCCTACCTATTAAGAGTTAAACCTAGGAACTGGCATGGTTCTGAATCATCGATTTTAATCTCTGACATTAAGCAAGGGCCAGAACTAGATTCGGAGAGAGAACCTTGAAGGGAGTCTGGTAGGCAATAATGTCTTTTAAGAAAAGCTGCTTCCTAGTCCTCAGTATCTTTTGGTTTGTGTACTGAAGCATGGGGGGATTTTATCCTTTCCAAATCCCTTACCTGTTACGATTTCCAGTATTTGAACCATTTACTTATCTACAAACTTATCATCCCTTTTAGTTCTAGGAGTGTCTCTCTATCTCCTATAATAATGAGTTCCACAAACAGTGACCACCATGCAATGCACTTCCTTTTAATAGTCCTACACTTTGTAATGTCAAGTTTTTGAACGTTCCCTTCATTTTTCTGGAGTGAATGAACTACTATTCTTCCTCTGAGCCATCTTCTCAATAGCATTGGTTTTATTTTATACTCTTACCTTTACCTTGTTCATCTAACTGTTCTTACAATCTATCACTGAACCCCTTATGCATATTATAATTGCCTTTTTTTTCCTTTCCCACACCAGAAGTGCGTGGGTTTTTAAATATCTTGCCTTGAGAACTGGGGGTTCCAGCTTCATTGCCGAAGAAGTTTGCAAAACTTCAGGCAAAGAGCTGACTTCCTTTCTCTCTATCCTAGAATGTGCCTGTATGTTTGTTTTTTGGAGTGGGTTAGGTTTGCAAGGAGACTTGATAACTGTTTGCAAAAGGCCACCTGCCTTACCCTATAACCGAGTTGGCTCTCCCATATCTACGCAAGTTTCCCGACAAGTGCAGATTTCCTCTCTAATTAATACTGTGCAGGGACTAGGGCCCTCTCCTAGTATCTTTCACCTACCAGGAGACGGCCCTAATCCCTGCTCTCTAAGAGTGTGCGCTCTATACATGTGCTCTGGGAGTGGGGGGGGAGGGGCAGGGGGAGTACTGGGTGCTTTATTTAGAGCAGCTTCAAGAACTCCTTAAATTAAAGCACCCAGAGCGTCTTGTGTATCAGCATCCCCAGGCTTCAAAACAGCAGTGGCAGGGGCACTTTTATCTAAAGCTCATTGAATAAGGTTTGGATAAAGCACTACCACTACCATTTTAAAATGCAGGGACACTGAAGCATGAGATGCTGAAGCATGGTAATTATCACGCTCCAGCAGACTATTTAACTGAGTCTGCTCCAATGTGCCGCAGTTACAATGTATCTGAGCAACCTCCCTGCTCATGTATAGGTGCTCTAAGTTTCTCTGTCCATCTCTTGTCTGAAACCATGCCATTCTGTTAAATTCTCATTGAACATGAATGACCCTATAGGCAAACTAGGCTATCCTCCCAAGGAGTGAGACTCCTTGGGTTAAGTTTCTTCCTCCAGTTCTGTTAACATCTTACTAAAAATCTAGAATTTCCATTTTATTAACACTGTATAAAACCCTATGTTTTATGTGACCCAATAGTTGATCAAAAACTGAGGTTTCAGAAGATTTGACAAGCCAAAGCATTATTTCCATTTGGCAGCCATATCAAAATATCTATTATTAGTATGGTTATAACTTCTAATAGCCTGAGAGATGCTGAAGTCAGTTTAAATAATTTCTTAATTCTGTATTATTAAATCCTAAGTAAACTTTACATTTTCTTCATTATTGTTTTGGCTTGTTGAATTCTTATAGTCTCCCTTCCCTAGTTCTAGCCACAACATACCTCCTAGTTCTTACAGTTTTCTCAAAACTAGTCCCTTCAAATCACTGGTTTTATTTGGAGCAGACAAACCGTTTATCTGGATCTCTCTCTTGACAAACTCATTTGGTCAGTTTGTCTAAAGGCCCTGTTACAGTGACTGTCTCTCTGTATCTGTTTTGGGTGCATCTTTTGTTCTCAGGAGGAACTGTCACTTGAGATGAATATTCAAGGTCATTTAATCAGTTGCAGCAAGAATTGTAGCTAGCCTCAGGCCAGTTCTGCCTCTTCAGATTTCCATAGCAGCCACTTATATTTCTAAATGCATGTATTACATTTGTGTAGCTTCAACCCTTGCATGGTCAACAATAAATTTTCAGGCCTCATGACAAGGACAGTGAAGGTTTGCTGATATTCTGATCCCAGAAGTGGACAGAAGGAATTCATGTCACAATATTGATATTTAGCTCTACAGGTCCACTGGTCATTTATGCTAGAGTAATAGGGGGCAACCTTTTTGGAGGGTGTGCTACAAATTAGCCCCTAGTGGCATTCCTAAGTGCCACTCTGATTCCCTTCACCTGCCCAATCTGCTGCTCTATCAGCCACGGTGCTGTCTATCCCCGCTTCAGTCTGCTACATCCCACACAGAGGCTCCTTGTTCCACCTGTAGCATGCATGATACAGACTGGTCACCTCTCTATTAGAAACACTATCTGCATTGTGAAGTATTTGGCCTTCTGTCTTCATTAAAGTGGATCAATGACTAGTTCTGACTGCTTCAAAGATCCCCACTAATAACAGGAATTATGTGCAAGCTAACTAATGGGACTGCAAAACAAATCTGACAATATTAACCATTTATGTAGTTAGGAGGTCCCAATGTCTCCTAGCCCAAGGATTATGTTCTTTCCTAGAAGTAGACTCGATTTTTTAAAATAACTTTACTAGTATTAATCGGTTAACTAGCACTATCATCTGCCCATCATTGCACTTACATAGACATGTAGAGGGGCAACAGCCCTCTGGATAGAGCGTCTGACTGGGTAATGGTTCCAAAGCTCTCATCTCTCTTTCTCCACCTGAAAAATAGAAATGCTTGCTTTTACCTCTAACTCTTTAGCGATTTGCTGATGGGTCTTTTGTATAGCATCTTCCCTGGTAAAAGTGCTACTTATCCCAATAGACCTCAAACTATTGAAATGGATGCCCCCCAGTCTATTGCAGGAGAGCTACCAATAAAGTACAAGGTAGAGAAGCAAAGTTCCATAGTACCTTTTATGGTTGTGACCACTTGCAATTTAAAAATCTGAAGGGAAACCTTCTTTGAATAAAACTTAAATGTACAAACGGAAGGAGAACAGAAGTTTGCCATTGTAGCTAACTTACAAGAATGTGCGTCTAATCTTTTTAAATAAGCAATTTTGTGTATCTTGAGAATTGACCTCTTTCAAAACTGCAGGATTACTATAATATCATCAAGAAACCCATGGACTTGAGCACAATTAAGAAACGTTTGGAACACAACTATTACACAAAAGCTACAGAGTGCATTGAAGACTTCAAAACAATGTTCACAAATTGCTATGTGTATAACAAGGTATGTAGATTATCAAAATGGCTTTATTGACAATAGCTTCTATTAACAGAGAATAGAAACAAGTCTGAAAATATTAGCTAGTTATGTAGCTGGGTTACGTAGCCACCAGTTCTTTTATGCTTTAGTGAAAATGCATATCCTTTTTAAAAGGATATACCATACTTACCCAAATTCAAGATGTATTTGAATTTTAAGAGGGACCCCTTTCTCCCCCCCCCACCCCCCAATAAATTAGATTCTAGACATGGAAAATGTATAAATTTGTTGTAACTTTTTTCA